AAAACTAGTGACACATATATGTGTCACGATAATACATATATGTGTCAAGAGTGGTGACACATAATTGTGTCTAGACCATTAAAACTATAAAGAGTATTATTATTCAACACTATAATTTCCTAGAAGGTCATCTATTCTAGGATTATTCTCACCAAAGCACACTTAATTATGGAGTTCTTATACACTATCATAAATGTTTAATTATCATTATAATAAAATCTAAGATTTAGTATTTAAGCATATTAATAGATCTTCTTACAATCCATATTGGACTATTAGCATTTTTGAATTACATCTAATTGTATATCTAATTAATGACACAAATATGTATCGTGATTTGCTATACTTTTTATTTGTGTTACTATTATTTAATCTTTTATAAATAAAATAACACTTATATGTATCATAAAATAAGTGTGGACATATACAACTTTTGTTGTAGTGGATGTGCTCTCAACTTCACACACATTATTTGTGGCGGCATCTGAACCTCAATGGCGATGGCGTCGGCGATGGCGACGGTGACAGTGACAACCTGGGGGCAGCCACTGGAGGTGAAGCGGTGGCTTGATTATTTTTGGCATGAAGTATATCTGTATATGATGTGTAGGTGGTGCACAAAGAACACAAAAGATCCCCTTAGGAGCTGTGGCAGTTGCCGAAGCTGAGACTGAGTGTTGGAGGTCATTTTGCTTGGAGCAAAAATAACATTGTTGTATTAATAGGTATGGCCACAATGGGAGCACCCTATTGGTCGCTCTAACTGGGTCAGTATAAGGTTTTTTTATACTTATACATTGAGGTGATCGAAGTGAAAACACCACGTCCACTTTACTTATTTATTATCAGCTAGACTAGGCGTTTTGACTTGGCGCATGAGGTGTGGGCTTGTAAGAAGATCCCAGGCATATCGCGGGGCGATATCTCTAGATAAGTTCATTACGGGGTAATGGAACTTGGGTCTATATGGCAGTCATTTAATGATGTATGTTCTCTAGGAGAGAGAAGTAATACCATAGCACACTGTCATACGACGTGTGCCTGGGTCAGACATAAGGAGGTCAAGGGATGTATCACTTCTCCTCATTGTATGCGCCCTCATCGATGATCACCAGTAATGGAGGGCAGCAATTGTACCCTTAGAGACACTAGGCTGTCTAGTAAGGCTGTTATGAGCATCCACTACTTTGTTTCCTACTGTGTTGAGATAATATCGCACATTACAGCGTAGTGTCAGGAAAGCGGGTGATTAACATGCTCAATATTCAGGGTCATAGGAAGATCGATTGATATGTCTCCTGATTGTATTGCTTGGCCAACTTTTATATATGCCAGGGACATGATTTAAAAGTGCGATGAATCAAGGGTAGACCACAGTGTTCATGTACGCTTCCTCGAGGAATTGAAGGTACTTGAGCAAACATGGTTAATCCGACCTGAGGTATGAGATATCGCATACTTTGTAGGCATCAAAAATTGCCTATAGTTCTCCACAACCGGTTCAGTATTAAAGAGCGACGATGAACGTCACCATCCAATCCACATGAGCCTAATCGACGTCGACGAACGACTAAAGTGAATCGACGAGCTACATGAGCGGATAGGACTTCGGAATCACGAAGACCCGGACCAATCGGGAAGCCCGGCACTGTTCACAAAAAAGGACAACGCCCTCCGTGTCTCGACCACTCTAAAGACAATCCAACCATCAGAGCGGATCAAACTCTTCGTCACGCATCCAACGCACCCGGAATCACTCAAATCCGAGTTCGTACGAAGAATCTACGGGGAAACGATCAAATACACCTACGGATGTCTCGGAATTTCCGAGACACCCTAGGGTGTCTCGGAAAATCCGAGACACCCTAGGGGTGTCTCGGAAAAAGAGAGCGGCGAAGCCCTGCCGGATCGAGGAGTGAGCGAGCCTTCTGCAGCAAAGGAGCCTCCCCCCTTCTTCATTCCCCTTTCTATTTTCCCTTAGTGTTGCCCTTAGCGGTGATACAAAGGAGAGCTAGTGCCTCGTTTTAGCCGAGACATAAGCTTTACACCTCTGAGATCCCACGCGGATCGACGGGGTTCAGAGTTTCTAAAATCCCCCCGCGGATAGACGAAACTCTGCCCGATTTTCTCGGACCAGATCTGAGTGCCCCGGTGGTCCACGGATATCAACATCCCCGTCACAGGCAAAAGACCCACGCAAGCAAGAGATGACAAACAGATCTTGCGTTTGTTTGAAAAGAGTTGTATCTATTTTGTTTTCATTGTGTACCGGTCTTATAAAAAGGCTATCTTTTTATTTCATTGTAACGATTGAAGTTGTAATGAATGCAGCAATGAATACAGCAACTTTTTCCGCAAACAAGCTGGCGACCACAGTGGGAGCCAACGGCATCGCAACCGACGCCGTCGTGACGCAACCAGCACTCAAGATCGGGGTGAATGAAGAACACGAGCTCGATCAACAACGGTTCAAAGAAGGCCTCTCTTCCTCCTCCTCCAGATCCGCCTCTCCAAACGGGTACAGAAAGGTAACCTCTTTCATAAATGATTGCAGGTCCTTCGGTTCAAAAATCCAAGACCCCGTTGCCGCCTCTGCACTTGCACCACGCGACGTCCCCACGTCGTCCAAAATGGTCGAGATCGCAGATCCGGACTCCTCTTCCGCCGAGGAGATGACTTCTGAAGACGCTCCGGCATTATCAAAGAGAGCACGACAAAGACAGCGTCAACGTCTTGCTCGACAGCTGGCCGAGGCTTTGGAGCCGATGGATGGGATCCGCTATAACGTAGATCTAAAATCCAGGCAACGCCAGGAGCAACCACGGCAAACAACCAGCCCCTCCTCCGAAGCAGAAACAAACAAATGGGTTCATGTCAAAAGAACCCGTTCTACTCTCGAGGAGCGAATCCAGAAGCGCCGCGCCTTGCGTGCGCATGCCCGAGCCCTGGTCCAAAAAGCACAAGAAATGCTAAAGGGAGAGGCCGTCAAGAGATCGCCGAAATCCGAACGAGTTTGGGTGCCAAAGGCCAAATCAGCGCCTAAGGCCAAAGCAGGTAATATTAATCTCTTACCTTCCTCAATTTCAGATCCCGAACCTTCGGTAAAGCCCCACCGCAGCGTGGATTTCCCCAAGTTCAAGAATCCTCTGAACAACCGTATCGACGCTCTACCCGAGAATCGAGGAAAAGCGCTTGTCAAGGAAAGCTGGAGATCGCTGAAGGAGCTTCAAGCCAACATCCAGACTGGGGGTCGTACACGATCTCCTAACAAATCGATCTTTGCAACAACCAGCTCGGCGGTGCGTGCAAAGGACCAAGAGCCCGTTAAGGTTTCACCCTCACAAAGGAGTGATTCCAAACGTGCGACTCTTGCAGAGGCCAACAAGGCAATGTCTACTCAGAAGAAGACGCGTCGAACAAACGAACGCGTTATACCTGAGAACCCATGTGAGCAGCCGATAGGTTACTCCGACGGCAACGTCGATGAGTTGTACTATCGGGCTGGGGGTGCGGATGAATCTCGAAAGAGAAACACCCGGGAAGCGGATTCTCACTGTCCGTGTACCAAAATTATCAGGGCAGTATTATCAGCCTGTAGCTGCCCCAAGACCGCTCCACAGAGGGTCTCGATATTCGAGGGAATCTCCGATGGAACAACAAAGCCCAAAACAAGGCGTTCCCACCAAAGAGGATCGATTGCTCGAGATGATGAACCCCTAGAAGTGACTATCAACATGGTCAACAAGGGAAAATCCCCAATCATTTCAAGTGATTCCGACCCTAATTCCTCTCCAGGAAGCAGGGTCAATTCGGGAACAGCTCAGCTTCAGCTAGAAGCCGTCAGATATGACGATTACTGTGGAGTCCATGAGGGAGTACATTCCGATGATGAACTCTCGGATTCCTATTCCGCTCTCGCTTCTGACGAGACAACGTCTAGCATAGGATAAGCTCGAGAGGTGCTCATGGTCAATACAGATCAGATAGCCAAAATCATTGAAGAGGCCCTGGCTAAGCAGAAGGAAATCTTCAAGTTCGAAATGGAAATGGCTATGCAAGAGATGAGACAAATGCACGATCAACGAATCCGAGCTTTGTCAAGTCAGCTAGCTGAATCCAATCGTCGCACCCAGAATGCTGCAGTCAACAGCGATCCGGAGGTGGTCGAAATCGTCATGGCCGACGCATCGCCCAAGAATACTGGGGGTGGCCCCACTAAAAATAACAACGCTGGGGGTGGACCCACTAGTGGTGATAACGCTGGGGGTGGACCCACCAGTGATGACAACACTGGGGGTGGTCGTATTATTCCTCTCGATAATTATCCAAAACAGGATAGAGATCAGGCCGAAAAGATGAAGGATCTCGAAAGAAAAATCGACGCCCTGATGTCTACTCGAGAGGTGAAGAGGACCGGCATTCCGTATCCTTACCCGAAAGAGTGGGATTCGATCCCGTATCCGGCGAAGTTCAACCTGATCAACTTCACGCCGTTCGGCGGGAAAGGCTCCCCCACTCAGCATCTGATCTACTTCAAGTCCCACTTGGGGGTGATCTCTGGCAACGAGCCCTTGATGGTTCGGTCATTCGTTGGCACCCTTCGCGGGCCCGCCTTCGATTGGTACCGC